TCCTAGATACCGTGCCAGAGCGTCATTATTGTGTGTATACAACTTGCGAAGGCACTCCCTAACCTCTATTTTCTCATCAATAGTCAAAATCCCGATGAAGATCGTTAAGTTCTGGTCCACGCCCGGAGGAGGTTTAGTATAGGTATCATCTATGATATGTGTGACTGTCGAATCTAAGGGCTGGAGGTAGTATGAAAAGTAGAAAAATAAGTAGAGACTGAAAATAGGTACGACAGAAATGAGCATAATTTTACGGGCATTTTAAAAATTAGAAAATCTTTAAAGTACTTACATACATATCCGCCATGGATACGTATCATTTCACCGACAATCATTTCACCGACAATAATTTCACAGACATTTAGTTCACCGACATGTTTAATTCACCGATGTGTTTAGTTCACCGACAATTGATTCACAATCATTACATCGACAAGCTTATTTCACCGACAATATGTTTCACCAACAGTACGTTTCAATAGGGTGTTCAATCGACTAATTAATCAAAACATATTAGGGTCATATATAACGATCACTAAAGTTCGGAATTTTACCGGTAAATAATTTAATTATTTTCTTATTAGATTAAATTACAATTATTAAATAATTTTTTTTTTAATATAAAACTTCAAGCTTGTTTTATATTGAATTAGAGCCTTTTTTAAAAAATTCTTACCAAATCATCAAGTATTAATAACTAAATTTATTGAAAATTTTGATAAATTTTAATTTAAAAACTTTTAAAAAATGGCTCTGATGTCGTTCTACCTAGTGCTCGGCAAAATTAAACTTTTTTTTGACACTCAAATACATGTGACGATCTGACTTTTATATCAATATAGCAATACGGTAATGCGATAATATAGTAATGCAATATTGCTGTATTGATTTAAAAGTCAGCCCGTCTCATGTATTTGAGTGTCAAGCAAAAGTTTGATTTTGCCGAGCACTAGTTCTACCGCGGATCTATGGCAGACTAACGGATACATAGCGGGAAACTTCTCCCGGTATGCACCTGATATTCATTGATACGACCTGTGATATATATCTACAATTAATAAAAATGCTAATCTAACCCTATATGATGTCATTTAAATGAGAAATGACCAACAGAAAAATGTGCAATAACAAAGTTAATCAATTTAACTTGTCGGTGAAACGTACTGCTGTACTGTCAGTGAAACGCATTGTCGATGAAACGTACACAGGTTGAATCAATGAATAACAGGTACATATCGGTAGACAAATCTCCTGATATGACCCGTTATTCTACCATAGATCCGCCAAATAACTGTAACATATCGTTAACAAATAAGTGACGCATTTCGAAAATAAATAGGATTTTTTCAATAGTATTTTTACTATGTTGAATTATAAATCGGAAAAATAAAATAAGATTCTCTGATTTTAACTTTGAAACCCCTATTTATAATTATCTTTCCTCTTGCGTATACTGGATTTTATTGCCGAAATCCTTGCTGCATCACTGCTTAACCATCTTTTCGATCTGTCAACTTGAATAGATACTTTTTAAATTAGCCAATCAAATGGATCTTATATGGGAGATGGGCCCGCCCCGCCCCCGCCCGAGTTTACTTATTTGTGCGAGTAATACAAACCCCAAAGAGGAAACTCAACATAAAAATAAACTGTTTGTAAAACTAAAATTTACGGTTAGCTGTTAGGGTTAGTGTTAGGGTTGTGAGCTTTAATATTAAATTATAGGTTTTTATGTGCAAAATTTCATCCCCGTTATTTTTTATTAGTCTAACAGGGTCGATTTAAACACCCGACCCGTTTTCTTGTATTTTCGCTTTTTTTTATTTTTCTTTATGGTTTTCTGCTTTGCTCACGTGTCGGGCTGATCCGGGATAATCACATTTTACGTTCTCCGATTGGCTAATTTCTCCTTTTGGGTTTGTATCACTCGCACAAATAAGTGCACGCGGGGGGGGAAAGCCCTCATAGTAAATGGATATTACATAATATATGTCACAGCCTTAGCCATATTGAATTACTCTACCGCCAACAATAATCATACAGTAATCGATCTCCGTAAGGGCCATATAAGGGTGTTAATTAAACAGGGATTTCCGAAACAGATTGAAGAGATGTACTACTAGAGTTGCTGGTGAAACTAAATTATCGCTCTTTTTGATTTAGTTGAATCGTTGAATTTTGCAGATTTTTTTTTTTTTGTCTATGAGTTCCATAAATCCATGAATCCGTAAGTCTCATATATGCATATATTCTGCATATAATAATTATTTGTAATTGCTAAAAATTTATTGATCCAACTAAATTGAGAAGAGCAATAAGCTGGTAAAACTGGTTACTATCTAAAACCTGATAGGCTAACATAGTAAATAGCCAATCAGATTTTATATAGTCACCAATTTCACTAGCAACTCTCAATACATGTACAACGGTTCAACACCATGCTAATTTAGATATCGGTATAAATTGTTTATATGTAAATACCTTAAAGACTTTCTAATTTTTAAAATGCTCAAAAAGCTCTGCTTCATTTCCGTCATACTTAATTTCAATCTCTACTTATTTTACTACTTTTCATACTACCTCCAGCCCTTATATTCGACAGTCCCACATATCATAGATGATACCTATACTAAACCTCCTCCGGGCGTGGACCAGAACTTAACGATCTTTATCGGGATTTTAACCATTTATGAGAAAATAGAGGTTAGGGAGTGCCTTCGCAAGTTGTATACACACAATAATGACGCTCTGGCACGGTATCTAGGA